TTAGTACCCTATGATTTGAGATGATCGGTTCATGGAATTGACTCAGGTTGAAGCTACCAAAGATGACACTTTTTTTTTTTGGTTACACGGTGTCCAGGGCGACTATTTCTTTGAATTCAGTAGTCGGTCACCGTGGTTTGAGCTGGTCTAGAGCATGTCTCTAAAGGGACGAAGTGATTAATCCTTAAGAGATTTGTAAATAGATTGAACTTTAAATATTTAAATTATCAAATGACAAACTCAACTATTAAATCATCCTAAAAATTACCAAAGATTAAGATGTATTAGATCATGAGTTATGAAATCTACAAATTACATGGACACCCTGTCAGGGTTTCTACCTCAATGTATATGTGTCATCGTCATGATTTCCTCTTAGTTAGTTCCAGACGATGGCCTATGCCCGAGTTGTTTGGCCAAAAAATGTCAAATTGATGACTATTTCCTCTTTCTACGTTTTACTAGTTGTCGTGAAACTCACAGATTGATAATTTGGTCGATTTTAGGTTGTAATTGCTTCATGAAATTAGCGATCCATCACAAAAAAATTTGAAACTCAAGCAGAGTGATCAGAAATGCCGATGGACATTTGCATTCCTCTGCTTGGAGAAAATAATCTATTATTTCCATTTCAGATCAAATCATGTACCTTCATGGTTTGAACATGTGAAACCTTCCTGAACATACCCAAAAACCATTAGTTTTATGTTTATCCCACCAATCCACACATCGAGTTCAAGTCTCATTCCCCTACTCTGTGCAGGCGCAAAATGGTAATGATATGAAGTGTGTAAAACTATGATCCAAGGCTCATAGTGAATGTAGTATAATTTCTATAATTTGGCGTCTTTTTGGCTTTGAGCTATGATTTGATATTTTGATCTTCTTTTAAGCTTTTGTTAGCTACTTTGATAACAATTAAGGTGGCAAGATGTATTTGCATATTTATCAGTATATGCTGGGATGAAAGAAGGGTTTCATACGGAGAATCTAAAGCAGAAACTCTAGGTGTTTGGCTAAGAGGGCTAAAGCAATAGCTTCTAGGGTGGAAACAACTATTTCTTTATCATTCTGGTTGGGACTTGGGGGATACTGAATAAATCTTTGGTTCTAAGCCAGCCATTCCTTCCTATATGCCATGGTGTGCTCCAAATTTCTGGTTGAGCTGTTTGATTTGATGGATTCATGCAATAGTTAGGCAATTCTAGTGGCAATTTAACTGCTTAAATCTTGGTACATTGGCTAACCAAGGATGACATTTTGGCACATATTCTGAAGGTTATATTCTATTCAAAACGGACTTTGTGTCTGCAAAGAAATGTTTAAGACCCTTCTGGCTGTGGTATAGTATTTTGGAAGGGCAGAAATCATAGAACAAGTCTCAGGTAACAAAGTTACAGAGGAAAGGGGGTGGATATCTTGAAGGATAAATAGATTTTAAGTTCAAATGACTTCTCTAGCCAATTCCGTAGGCCACATTCGAAGGCAGAGTTGAAGATTAATCTGATGATTGATTGCAGACTTCGATCTTTGGATAACACAATACTCCGTTCTCTTGTTCCTGGGAAAGAGGTAACTGTTATATCTCTGGGAAGACTTCGATTTTTGCACAATAAATAAAAAAAAAAAGTTTTCTCCCTTGGTGAACTTGTGCTTACCTCAATAGTCGACGGTCCGGTGGCAAAGGGAGGCTAGAAGGGCCTAAGGAATGATGATGCATTGTTTTCAGGGTTGTCTGATCAATTCTTGCGAGCTGAAGGCAGTTCCTTGCACACAAAAGATGGGTTAGAAGGGCACTGAAGTGTTTTCCGGCGTATCCCCCTCGAATAGTTTGAGAGAGGGGAAGGAAAATGCACTGTTTTTTGTATTATGGAGTGAATTTGCATACCTTTGCTTTGAGTTCTAGAGGGTACGAGTGTTCACCCTACCCTACGGGTAGAAAATATAGTCTTCCGTTTTCTACCCGATACTTTGCGAATTTTTTTTTTCTTGACGTATCCTACTCGATCAGGTGTGGTATTCCTACCTAACTTTCTACCTGATTAATCGGGTGAGAAGTCGGGTAAACACTTTTGTAGCTATTAATTTTTGGATCATTTTAACAATTTAAATAAATATGCACCAATTTAACAACATAATAAATCAATAATACTAAAATCTAAAACAACTATAACAACAATTATAATTGTTGTAGCCATCAATCCACCATAATTGTTACATAAATACAATAACAATTATTTTAAATTTAAATCATATGAAATACATTAAAATTATAACTGCTTCGCCTATGACAGTTCACCAGTTCACTACAAATCACCAGTTCACCACAAATCATGTAACCTATACAAAAAACAAATTTATGTTTTAACAACTCAAACATCCACAACAATAACAATATTATAATATAAAATATACCACACAAATACTCTTATAATTACTAAAAAAATATAAAAAAGTTAAATAGCACCTTTTTTGTTAGTGTCATTTACCTTTCTTCACTCAAGAGTAATTGCAATTGTATCTACTGTTAATTCGAAGATAAAAAAGAGTATAGAAAAAAATTAGATACAAATAACTCATCAACAAATAATAAAAAAGTAACAATAAAAGTATAAAAACCTGAATCTAGTTTATAGCTTTCTAAATCCTCCAAAACATCCTCAAAGTCATAAGCAATGGATGACAATCGAAGCCAATTCTGTGCACATATGAGACCCTTAACTGTTTTAGGTGCTAGGTAACTCCGAAAAGGATCTAAAATACAACCCCCAGTGCTAAAAGTCGATTCTAATGCCATCGTAGAAACGGGAATAGCTAACACATCACGAGCTATTTTGGTAAGGGCCGGGAATTTGAAAGAATTAACCTTCTTCCACCAATTCAAAATATCAAAATTGGCACTAACAAATTCAACATCCTCCATCAAATATCGATCCAACTCTGATTTACTATCCACATTACCTTTTTTGGCCCTATACTTGCGGTACCTATTCATGAAATTTATAGGTACTTGATCTTGAATAGCTATCTCAATAGATGATGGTTAGCAATTAGGGTTTTATTGCCGTTCAATAAGATAGGGTAAGGTAGAAAATTGTAGTCAATCGAAAATTTGAACACCTCTACTAGAGGGTTATTTATACCTCTCATGGAGGTCATCATTACTGACTAGTGGGTAGTGTTTTGTCATTGGACAGTACACCTTCTATTTTGCAGGGACTAGGCTTAGGCGTTAAATACTCGGTCTCCCGAGCATTGACTACGTCCCATCCATATGAGGGATCATTAAATGCTTCTTTGTGACGAATACATACAAGTAGGGGCCTTTTTATCTTGTGGCCCCTACTTCTGTACTCCCTGCCACGCGTTTAACTCCCTTTGGTTACTGGTCTTGTCCCTCTTGTCATTCTAACTTCATTAGGAAGACAAATCAATGATTCATTGTTTGACTCATGTTTCGACAGGCTACAATCGTCAATAGTCTGCCTTGGAGCTTAGGTGACGTGCCAAAAAGGGTCTCGGGACTCAATCATACGGGGGACACATGTCTGAATCAAAGAGTAGAAGGTGTCCTTAGTGCCGAGGACACGTGTGGTCTTAAGAAGCTGAAGGTGTCCTCAGTGCCAAGGACACGTGTCTTCACCATAGCTTGAGATATCCTCGGTGTCGAGGACTCGTGGCCACCTAGGTAGTTGAAATCAGGGACCCCTCTACCACCATCGACGCCGAGGCCAGCACATCTGGGAGAGAGGCTTGGCCCAATTTTAACATCCTTCATAATCTAAATGTAGAAAATGCGCTTAAAGTTGCAATGTCTGACTACTTTCACATCAACTTAGACTTCATCAAGCAACGATCAGCCATCAGCCCTGGAAGGGGCCGAGGGTCTAGTTCTAGCGATCCTCCTCCTCCACCAAGAAGGACTCCTGCTCCCCCTCCCCCCTGAGACCAAAAGTGTGCCTCCAAGGTCCATAGGCCGCGGCTATGACCACCCCAAAGACCCTCAACTTGAAGAAGAGAGGAGGCTAAAACACAGGCATGACGACACTGGTTGAGGTAGGGGCACTCCTGTTCTGCCTCCAACTATAACACCCACATCAACTACTCCACCTCCTCCTCCGGTACCGACGACTCAAGTGGAGGAGTGGTGCCTTCGGGTTCAAGATCGTGATAACAGGCTGATCCGGGTCTCTAGCTCCATCATTCATTCTCCTCACTTGGCCTATGCCATAAGCGAGACGCTCTTGTTCAGCGCTAATATGGAGGAGCATCGGGGGAGGCCGATCAACCAACTCTTCTGCAACATCATCTAGATTTCGCTGGTGGTAAGGCTCTAAACAATAGTTCCTTTCTTTCCTCCTTTTCTCTTACTTTTTCAGTCAGTGTGACCCCCTTCTATTCTTGTGATAGACTGCCCAACAAGTCTTGGTCATCGTTGACCGCTACCACATGCTAAGGGAGAGGCTCCAAGACTCTGAAAGGCAAAAGGCTAAAGCCTAGGGTGCTCTTGCCACAACAATGAAAGAAGTGGTGGCTTGGGACAAGACTTTGTCTTCCCAGGCTACCCAAATTGCTAAGCTTCTCAAAGAGGCTGAGGCGGCCAAGGGAAATGCTGATAAAATAAGTGCCGCCCTCACTAATGCCGAGAAGAAAATAACAGAATCCACTAAACAACTCTCTACGATTGAGGCTAAGGTAACAGAGTCAGAGCAGACTTGCTCTGCTCTCACCTAGGAGCTGGATAAAGTTTGGGCTGCATTGGAGGCTGCTAGCAAGACTCGGTAAGAGATTGTGGATCAATTTGCCGAAGATATCTTGGTGGCTTTTATGGAGCAGAAGAAAGAATATTTTAAGCAAGGGTGGAACGAAGCTCTCAAGGCTGCTGGTGTCCCCGAAGAGTCCCCTATGTTCCAGGAGCACACATATGTCCCTTATGAGGAGCTACTGCAAGCTTCTGTAGGGGACGCAATTGAACATACTCAAAATGCCCAAGTGTGAAGCTTGGCACCAACCACTATAGTTGTTACCTTGGGACCGGCGGACATTGCCCCTGCTCAGGTTCCTCCTCCTACGTCGGAGCCTCCATCGGTCCTTGTTTCTTCCTCTACTCCAATGCCTCAGGCCGATGCCCTTGCTGCTAACACTCTCTCTGCCAGCATTGATGAGCTTTTTCGGGATATTGGAGGCGGCATTGGCGGAGATGTGAATGGGCCTCCTCCAGCATAATAGACTCAGGATTTTCTTTTTGTAATGTTTCATTTAACCTTTTCTTTGTAAGTTTTGTGGCCTGGAGGATGCAAAGCCTCCTTTTTCTTTGAATGAAGAACAAATTTGCTCTATGTGTTGATCTTTTTTTTTGTTCCTCTAGTGAAAGAAAGTCTTTCGCATGTGTGAATTCTTCTCCCCCTTTTATTTGTACTTTTGGCGAAGTGTAGCTCCTCAGGAGAAGGTAGAATCCTCCTCCTTGCTTGATCTTTCCTCCTGGGAAAAGAAGTAAAAATCTCTAAGTGTCCCCCCTGCTGAGATGACGTGTGGATTGTATAGAAATCTGAGGAATATCGGTGCCGAGGACATGCGTCAATTATGGAGGTTTTCGGAGAGTATTTTTGCCAAGGACAGGTGTCGATAGTAGATGAATCCGAGGCGTATTGAAGCCGAGGTCCCTCTACCATTGTTTGGCTTTGTGCTTCATGTGTAGAGGCAGTAAATCAACAGCTTTGGCATCGTGCTTCCTGTGTAGAGGCAGTAAATCAGCAGCTTTGGCATGCTCTATGAAGAAGTTCAATAGTTCTCTTTGTCAAGTTGACTCTCCAGCAAAACTTAGTAGCTTCAGCACAAACCCTTCCTATCTCAATGTACTTTTCACTACGATTAGCATCATCTTCCTTGCCCGTTAAATTGAGAGGCTCGTGTTAATCCTTCATCTCAATATTATCCAACTCAAATCCCTTAATAAATGGATTGCTGGAACCAAACAACTTCACCCATGTACTTGTGCAACTAGACACCAATGCCTTGGTACAAAGATTTACACTCCCAAACCTATCAATCACTGGCATATACTATAAAATTTTAGAAATGGCATCAGGTGCGATATATTTGTCGAAGGGAGAATGATACACAAGATGAGCCAATGATGCTGCAATTTTTGCGTCCATCTTCGTCTTATCAAAACTAATCAGTCTTGAAGTGTGTGAGGAAACATTGGGGACAATCACACCCACATTAGATGTCAGTCATTTTTTTGAGATCTCCTTTCTCCTAACTCCCAGAAGTGAATTTATCATGGGGTTAGGACGGAAAGACATATCATTCGGACAACTTGTTTCCAAGTTCAATCTACTTGGCCAGACGTGCATTTGGGGATCCCTGGCAAGATGAACTTTCAACGATTCACGTTTGATTTAAAGAATATTTCATGACAAAGTATCCCTATTCCAAGTGATGTATTTGAGAGAGGTATTCTGTTAAGACCTTTAGGTGTTTCCCCTCGGGAGATCTACTCCCATCTTGGAGACCCTACCCCTCGGGAGTTCTGCCTCTAGCGCCATGTCCCTCTAGGAGGTCATGCTCCTGTACTTATTTGGAGGTGAGAGTCCTAGGACTTCGCCCTCGGGGCTACGCCCCCCCGTCAAGGAGGCCTTGCTCCTATACTCATTTGGAGGCGAGTCCTAAGACCTCACCCTCGGGGCCATGCCCTGTCCAGGAGACCATGCTCCTATACTTATTTGGAGGTGAGATTCCTAGGACTCCACCCCTGGGGCTATGCCCTATCTAGGAGGCCTTGCTCCTGTATATATTTGGAGACGAAGGCTAAGACCTTACCCCCGGGGCCATGCCTCTTTCGGGACAACACTCTTAGCATAAAAATAAATTTTTATTTCTCAAAAAAAATATTTCTTCAAATTCATCAAATTCCAAGGTCGTATTACAACATTCCCTTCTAGGTTTTCTAGTCTATATGACCTGGAACCTCCTACTGACATGAATTTGTATGGTCCCTCCCAGTTGGGTCCCATTTTTCCATCTGTTGGATCTCAGGTATTTTCCACTACCCTTCTAAGCTCCAGGTCACCTATTTGGAATTCTCGGGGGTTGACCCTTCTATTGTAGAGCCTGGACACCCTCTCTTGATACTTAGCCAATTTTAGGGTAGCCACTTCTCTTCTTTCCTCCACGATGTCAATATCTCAACTAAGTTGGTGATCATTGTCCCCGGCGTCAAAGGCTTGTGTCTTTATGGTAGGGAGACCTACTTCTAACGGGATAGCTGCCTCCAGCCCATATGCGAGGGCATAAGGTGTTTCTCCTGTTGAGGTTCAGGGGGTGGTTCTATACGCCCAAATGACGTTTAGAAGCTCGTCCACCCACTTTCCCTTAGCCTTTGTTTAACCTCTTCTTGATCCCATTGATGATAGTCTTGTTTGAGGACTCAGATTACCCATTGGCTTGCGGATATGCAGGGGTGGAATAGTAGTTTCTAATTCCAAGATGCTCATGAAAGACTTGAAAGGTCTGTTGTTGAATTGAGTTCCATTGTCCGATACAAGTGCACGGGGGACTCTAAATCTCATCACTATGTTCTTCCACATGAACTTCTTGGTGTCCACGCCTTTGATATGGGTTAAGGGCTCCGTCTCGACCCATTTCGTGAAATAATCAGTTCCTACTATCAGGAACCTCTTGTCTCTAGGGGCCCTTGGTCGGGGCCCAACCAAGTTGAGTCTTTATTGAGCGAGCGACCAAGGACTCGTTAGTAGGTGCAAGTCTCCAGCTGGCTGCCTGATGACTGGAGCAAACCTCTGACATTAATCGCACTTCCAAACATAAGCTTGCAAGTCCCTCTGCATGCATGTCCACCAATACCCTTGGAACATGATGCGATAGACCATTGATCGTCTACCGAAGTGTCCACTATATATGCCTTCATGTACCTCGTACAGAAGTGGTTCAATTTTATCCTCGCGGATGCAAAGTAGGTATAGTCCGAAGAATGACTTTTAGTACAACTTTTGATCTGGGGAATCCTAGAACCTTGGGGCCCTTAAGCTTATCTTTCTAGCTTCTTTGGGATATTCAGGGAGTTCTCCCAACATGAGAAACTTGAGTAGTAGATCAATCTAGCTAGGGGACTCCTCCCCTTCTTGGATGGCAGCCACCCTAGGGATTTCATCTATTCAAGAGTTGGAAAGGTACTCCACGGTGATCCTTCGTGTCGTGGTGGAATCCAGCGCCGAGGCCAGACATGTCAAGGCATCGACGTGGGCGTCCTTATCTCAAGGAACTTTCTTGTCTTCGACCTTCTTGAACGTGTGGAGTAAGGCTATTGCTTCGTGGTGGTAAGTTTTCATTCTAGAGTTCCTTGTTTTGAACACCTCGTTAACCTAGTTGACCACCAACATAGAATCGCAGTGGACAGTCAGCTCTGTGATTCTTGACTTGATTCGAAATGTGTACACCAAAGTGCAGACGGTCAAGTTATAGAAATAATTTAATTAAGTCTAGAGTCGAATGCACATGAAACTATTGTTGGTGTTTTAAAGTAAGTAGTGACAGAGACCATGTGATTGTAACCTTTGAGATTTATAGTGATGATGTTTAGAGATTTTCTTGGGCCAAATATATAATTCTTTCCAAGAATATTTTCTAGACAAAATATAAGATAAATTCAAATATAAATAGTTACTCTTTAGTTTGAGGATCTAGAAATGTAGTTGATCATCCAATTTATTATACTTGTGCTTGGTAACTCAATTAACTCCCGTGTCAACAGCAAGTTAATCAGAAGATAAAGATGGATTGTGAGAATTAAACGCATGGTTTCGATGCCTTTCTAGAAGTTTACAAGAATTGTATGTGCTAAGACTCAAACCCTCTACAAACAAGCAAGTGTTTTTATAAGGTATCCAACCATGGCGTTAATATTTCATCCTTTAAATGAAGTACAATAATGGTGAAGATTGAAGGGTAGTAATGAAGATCTAGCTGGGGTACTTGCCTTGAACCAATGAGTCTTTCTATGTAAGAGTCATCTATGTTATAGAAATTACTCAAGGTTATACAAAGTACCTTAGCTTTGATAGATGCAATCAATTATTTAATAAGCAAGTGAAATATAAAGCATTTAAGCATAAATGAAATGAAAAAATATAACTTTTGGATAGTTTATACATGTTCATCACCTCTTACTAAAGAGTGAATGAGAAACTACTCACTTTTCATGGCTTTGGTAAAGCTAGAAAAGTGAGTGATACTCATCCCTCCAAGTAGAGGAGTTACAAGGTAAAACACAATAAATGAGGAGCTGATCTTCAACGAAGAATGAGTGAATCACGTTTCATCCTTCACGACTTTGGTAAAGCTTTAGAAAAGTAAAAGAGTTTCACTCCTCTAAGGGAAGAAAAAAGCTCAAGCAATGGTAGCGAAAGAAACTAACAATGAAAATAGAAGTAAGCTACTCACTTTTGGAGGGTTTCCACCACAACCAAAAGATGATCTATCTTCCTCTATACAAGTAAAATATAAGTCTAATTCTAAATTCTATGTCTACAACTGCTTCTACCAGCCTCCTTGAAGCTCCCATAATGGGAGTATTTATAGGCAAGGAGGAGGGGGCAAGGGATTGTGAAAGAATAGTGCAAGGCCGCCAAAGTCCAAGTGAAAGCCAACTACTCTGCAACCAGTTTGGGGATAACTTTCGAACATTGTCTGGCGTTTGAATGTTCTTCTTATCTTTGCTTGATGGGGGTTCGAATGCTAGATGTAGTTTGAACCTCCTACTCAAGTGGCCTCTGGTCTTCTGTGAGAGCTACTTTCATACGCCATGAACCACTGCCTCTGCACTCATTAGCCTAGTCTTCAATAGTTTAGGACAACGTTCGAGCATGGATTATCGTTCGAACATTGTACTCAAGTACTTCTGTTTTTTTTTTCTTCTTTGCTGCAACACGCCATACATAGTACTTCAACAATCTAATCTTTAATAATTCAAGAGAATGTTCGAACGTCAATTGGCATTCGAACATTCTTGCCTTGGTCCAAGCTTTTCCAATTTTGCTCTAGAATATGCTGGTGTTGCATGAAAGTTTGATATTCATTGTCTTTGATCCCTTGTACAATTTATGTCCTGAATTGTCATTATTTAAACTCCATCAAAGTATAATTAGTCTTAAAAAGGCATAGTAGTATGCTAATTTTAACTACTAATCAACTCCTGCCACACTGGC